GGCCACTGGCTGACCAGGATTGAACCAGCAACCTGGTCAAGAGCAGACAGGAGACAGCGAACTCCACGGGAACAGGTAAACCGGAGTAACCCCTGAGTGAGTGAGCTTGAGCCAGAGACCACTGAGGGTCTGGGCAAGAGTCTAGGACCTCCCAGGAACTAGGCATGAGCCAGGACCTCTATGGGTCCCCGGAGTTGTTCTGGGACATCAAACGGAATAGGCAGGAACCTGAAACGTCTGTGGGTCCAAACGTGAGTCTGGGACCTCTGAGGGGTAAGCCTGAGTAGAAAAGATGAGTAGAAAAGGTAAGAACACATGCAACACCACAAAGAGCAACATAACACCAGTAAAACTAAACACCCTACAACAGCAAGACCTGAACAACCAAATATGGATGAAGCAGAAGAAAATAACTTAAAAAATAACTTCAGGAGAATATTTGAAACTCTTAAAGAGGAAATGAGAAATTCCCTTAAAGAAATGGAGAAAAAGACAAACAAACAAACAAACAAAAAAAAAATGGAAGTCATCAGCAAATCCCTTAAAGAAAACCAAGGAAAAAAAATCAAACATATAAAAGAAATTATTCAAGACTTGAAAACAGAAATAGAGACAATAAAGAAAACACAAGCTGAGGGAATTATAGAAACAAAAATCATGAGAAAATGACCAGGAACCACAAATGCAAGCATGAACAGCAAAATACAAGAGATGGAAGAGAGAATCTCAAGTGCTGAAGATACAATAGAGGAAATAGACTCATCAGTTAAAGAAAACATTAAATCTAACAAAAGCTTAACCCAAAATATCCAGGAAATATGGGACACCATGAAAAGGCCAAATCTAAGAATAATAGGTATAGAAGAAGGAGAAGTTCAACTCAAAAGCACAAAAAATATATTTAACAAAATCATAGAAGAAAACTTTCCTAACCTAAAGAAAGATATACTAATAAAATACAAGAAGCTTACAAAATACCAAACAGACAAAAAAAAAAACGGTCCACTTGCCACATAATAATCAAAACACTAAACATACAAAAGAAAGAAAGAATATTAAGAGCTGCAAAAGAAAAAGGCCAAGTAACATATAAAGGTAGACCTATCAGAATTACACCTGACTTCTCATTGGAGGTCGTGGTCAAGCATTATGCAGACATTAAGAGACCATGGATGCCAGCCCAGACTACAATACCCAGTAAAACTTTCAATCACCACAGAAGGACAAAACAAGATAGTCCATGAAAAAATAAGATTTAACCAATAACTAGCCACAAACCCTAGATACTAGAAGAAAACTCCAACCTATGAAAGTTGGCTACATCAACAAAAACACAATTGACGGTCTCATAGCAGTAAATCCCAAAGAAGGGAAAAACACACAAATTAACACCATCAACAATGAAGTAAATTAACAGAAGATAGCAATCACTGGTCATTAACATCCCTTAATATAAATAGACTCAATTTACCTATAAAAAGGCACAGGCTAACAGACTGGATAAAAAAACAGAATCCATCCTTCTTCTGCATACAAGAAACACATCTCAACCTCAAAGACAGACATTAAAAAATATTCCAATTAGCCGGGCGGTGGTGGCGCATGCCTTTAATCCCAGCACTCGGGAGGCAGAGGCAGGCGGATATCTGTGAGTTCGAGACCAGCCTGGTCTACCTGGTCTACAAGAGTTAGTTCCAGGACAGGCTCCAAAACCACAGAGAAACCCTGTCTCGAAAAACAAAACAAAAAAAAAAAATCCAATTAAATGGTCCTAAAAACAAGTGAGTGTAGCTCTCCTAATATCAAAGAAAATAGACTTCAAACTAAAATCAATCAAAAAAGACAAAGAAGGTTATTTCATATTAGTCACAGGAAAAAAATCCATCAAGAAGAAATTTCAATACTGAACATCTATGCTACAAATTCAAGGGCACCCTCACATGTCAAAGAAACACTTTTTGTAAATAAAGTAAAGCCTTTTTTTTTTTTTTTTTTTAGATTTATTTTTGTACAGTGTTCTGTCTGCACATATGTCTGCAGGCCAGAAGAGGGCATCAGATCTCATTACAGATGGTTGTGAGCCACCATGTGGGTACTGGGAATTGAACTCAGGTCCTCTGGAAGAGCAGTCAGTGCTCTTAACCACTGAGCCATCTCTCCAGCCCCCAAGGAAACACTTCTAAAGCTTAAATCATACATTAAACCCCACATACGAATAGTGGGAGACTTCAACACTCCACTCTTACTACTGGACAGGTCAGTCAGACAAACAATGAACAGAGAAATAAGAGAACTAACAGATGTTATGACTCAAATGGACTTAATGAACATCTATAGAGTATTCCATCCTAACATAAAGAATATACCTTCTTCTCAGCACCTCATGGACCCTTTTAAAAAATTGACCACATAATCGGTAACAAAACAAACCTCAACAAATACAAAAAAATTGGAATAACCCAATGTATCTTATCAGATCACCATGCTTTAAAACTAGAAGTCAACAGCAATACAAATTCCAGAAAACCCACAAACACATGGAAATTAAACAGTGCTCACCTGAATCATCAATGGGTCAAGGAAGAAATAAAGGGAGAAGTTAAAGGCTTCCTAAAATTCAATGAAAATGATCACACAACATATCCAAATTTATGGGACAAAATGAATGCAGTGTTAAGAGGCAAGTTCATACCACTAAACATCTAAATAAAGAAGCTGGAAAAATCCCACACTAGTGAATTATCAGAACATTTGAAAACTTTAGAACAAAAAGAAGCAAACTCACCTAAGAGAACTAGATAGCAGGAAATAATCAAATTGAGAGCTGAAATCAACAAAATAAAAACATAGAAAACAATACAAAGAATCAAGGAGACAAAGAGTTGGTTCTTTGAGAAAAATCAACAAAATAGACAAACCTTTATCCAAACTAACCAAAAGGCAGAGAGAGAATATCTAAATTAACAAAATCAGAAATGAAAAGGAGGACATAACAACAGACATGGAGGAAATACAGAGGACCATCAGGTCATATTTCGAAAACCCGTACTCCACAAAATTGGAAAACTTAAAGGAAATGGACAATTTTCTGGATAAATATCACTTACCAAAATTAAATCTAGACCAGATAAGCAAATTAAACAGACCTATAACTGCTGAAGAAATAGAAACAGTCATAAAAAGTCTCCCAACCAAAAAAAGCCTAGGACCAGATGGTTTCAGCTCAGAATTCTATAAGACTTTCAAAGAAGAACTAATACCAATACTCCTCAAATTATTCCACACAATAGAAACAGAAGGAACATTGCCAAACTCTTTTTATGAGGCTACAATTACCCTGATACCCAAACCACAGAAAGACATTACTAAGAAAGAGAATTACAGACCAATCTCACTCATGAACATTGATGCAAAAATACTAAATAAAATACTGGCAAGTCGAATCCAAGAACACATCAGAACCATCATCCACCATGATCAAGTCAGCTTCATCCCACAGATGCAGGGATAGTTCAACATATGAAAATCTGTCAACGTAATCCACCATATAATCAAACTGAAAAATAAAAACCACATGATCATCTCATTAGATGCCGAAAAAGTTTTTGACAAAATACAACATCCCTTCATGATAAAGATCTTGGAGAGAGCAGGGATACAAGGAATATACCTAAACATAATTAAGGCAATATATAGCAAGCCAACAGCCAACATCAAACTAAATGATCCCACTGAAATCAGGAACAAGACAAGGTTGTCCACTCTCTCCATATCTATTCAATATAGTTCTTGAGGTCCTAGGTAGAGGAATAAGACACCAAAAGGAGATCAAGGGGATATAAATTGGAAAAGAAGAAGTCAAACTCTCACTGTTTGCTGATGATATGATAGTTTACATAAATGATCCCAAAAATTCTATCAAGGAACTTCTACAACTCATAAACACTTTCAGTAATGTAGCAGGATACAAGTTTAACCTTGGCTTCAAGGTAAATTTCTTGAGGAATAAGGCAAGATAGTCAGAGAATAATAGCATTCCAAACAAAAGAGCAACATATATAAAAACTTGAAGAAAAAAAAAAAGCTACACTGGAAGAGTTTTTAAAAAGATCAGTCTTCAAATCAGCTACTTGGGTTCAACTAACTAATTTTGAATTTGTGGTGTCCACTATGCCTGTGATTTTCTCACCTGTGAAACGGTGATAATGAGCTACACTGTATAGTGTTCACTTTAAAGTGAAAGTGAGGGCCCAGAGAGAGGGCCCAGCAGTTAAAGGAACTCGCTACAAAGCCTGACGACCTGAGTTTTATTCCCCAGAACCCACAATGTAGAAGGAGAGAACAAACTCCAAAAAGTTGTCCTCTGTCTTCAATGCCTGTATCAGAGTATGGAACACACATATAAATGCCATGCGTATACACACACACACACACACACACACACGCGCGTGCGCGCAAAATTAATTTTTAAATAAAGGTGAAATAAGACACTAAAGGCACCAACTACAGGCCAGAAACACAGCACGTGCACAGTAAGTGTTAACTTCCCTTTTGCTAATAATTCAATAACCTTTAACCAGAGAGTCACTTCTGCTGGTGGGCATGTTGGCACAACCCTTTAATCCCAGCACTCAGGAAGCAGAGGCTGGTAGATCTCTGTGAGTTCCAAGCCAAGCTGGTCTACATAATAGGTTCCAAGGTGGCCAGAGCTAAGAACTACATAGTGAAACTCTGTCTGTCACCTCTACTTTCATCACTACGGGACCCTAATTAAACACAACTTTCCCAACTTCTCAAGCTTTGCCAGGGCTTCGGGAGCTCGGGGGTAAATTGTAAGCCACTCAGCAAGTTAGAATCATTCATGGAAGAAGGGGTGAAAAAGAATAAAGGAAAAGAAAAAAAAAGAATAATGGGGGTAACACCAGCTAAATTCACTAAATAAATATAAGAAACTATCAAAGAATAATTGAAAACCAATAATCCATTATTATACCACTTACCAGTATAGGCCATGTTCTTAGGGTTGCCATAAGGAGCCCCAGGTTGCACGGGGCTGTAAACAGGGTTCATTGTGGAAGACTGAGGATCCTACAACAAAGACAAATAAAACAGCATTGATTATTAATTGCTCATTGCCTCTGACATCTCTAAAGTCATGCTCAAAAAGAAGCATCATGGTACAGGGGAAAAAAGACTAAACAGACTATAATACTTTTCCCATTTTACAGATGAAGAATGACAGGGCAGAGAAGTGATATAACTTGTTCACTGTCAACTCAGCCACTTTAGGCTGTCAGTTTAATATTAGTCCCAGTATCCCACAGAAAGTTTTTTTTTTTTTTTTTTTTTTTGGTTTTTCGAGACAGGGTTTCTCTGTGGTTTTGGAGCCTGTCCTGGAACTAGCTCTTGTAGACCAGGCTGGTCTCGAACTCACAGAGATCCGCCTGCCTCTGTCTCCTGAGTACTGGGATTAAAGGCGTGCGCCACCACCGCCCGGCCCCACAGAAAGTTCTTAAGGCATTGGCCAAATCACTTTTCCTCTTTGACTTCAACATTCTAATAATAAATGGATTAGTTAACCTCTGATGTTTGTTCTCTGTCTGTCTGTCTGTCTGTCTGTCTGTCTGTCTCTCTCTCTCTCTCTCTCTCTCTCTCTCTCTCTTCAAGACAAGGTTTCTCTGTGTAGTTTTGGATCTGCCTGCCCCTGCCTCCTGAGCACTGATCAAAGGTGTGTGCCACCACTGCTGGGCTGGTTCTAATGATGCTACTTCACAAGTTGGAAAACGTCATACTTTTTCAGTTTTATCAAGAGAGTCTGAGTATCTGGTAGTGAGCACTTAGCCTGCTAGAAGAAAGGAACAGCAACTGTTTGTCTGTCCCCCCCTTTTGCCTGTAGAAGATAAGATAAAAGCTACTAACAGCCTTAAAGGAAAAAAGGAGGAATTTTTATTACATCTATTTGTGTGCTCAGCTACAGCACTGTGTGAAGGTCAGAGGACAACCTGCAGAAGGATTTCTTCTTCCAGTATGTGCCCAGAGATCTGGCCACAAGCATCTCTACCTACAGAACCATCTTAATGGTCTCCAAAGGGTAAATTTGATGCCACTGAACATCCTAATGCAAATAAAATAAAATAAAATAAAAAAACAGAGCCAAGACTTCTTGCCAAATTTATTCAAGGGAAATAAATAAACTTGGAAATTTGTGTGCAATAACTATCACCGGCACAAGTGCTCTTAATGTCCTCAATGAAGGACATTTTCCATTCTGCTTAATGGAAAACCTGTTATTATGCTCTATTAACCAATTCGTCCCGTCTTCTTTAGAGAGCCATATCTTACACATAAACTGACACATGTTTGAATACGTGTCTCCAGAAATATTACTCACACTCCATAAAAATCAAACAATTCTCTCCTAACTAGATTTACATGATAGATGGGCAATTTTTTAGGTCATTAACTTCTGTTTCACCCCAGGAGAGGGAACAAGTTAGATGCTGAAGGCAGGCAGTGAACATGGGGCTTGGTGGCAACAGTGACTAATTAAGTCTGTCCAGGGTTCTGGAATGACAGGACACTAGGACCATCAGATAGACAAACAGGTAAATTTCATAATCTAGAACAATGCCAGGGTTAACAGCGTCAATACACTCATCTACAAGTTAAAGCTACAACTCGAGGATATATGTTAAAAGAAAGCATGTGTATTTTCAGCTCAATTTAGCAAAAACTATTTTCACAACCAGAGCTGAGAATTAACTCTGAGGCTAAACTTCCCTGCTAACTGTGAAGTAATAAACAGAGGTAAACAGTGTGTGACAACAGAGACGACTGCTTGAACATTTTCCCCAACTCGGACCTTCTCCTTAACCAGTTCTCTCCCTAACAAGTCAGTGTCGAGTAAGACTATTAAAATCTCCCGTGGCTTGAATAGTGGATACTATTATCCACTAAAAGGCACGTGTAAGAAACCTAATGGCCACCGTAACAATAGTAAGAGGTGCAATTTTTAAGACACCACGAGGGATCTGCTCTTATGAACGGATTAATCTGTTATACTGGGAGAGGATAAATGTGGTTTCTTGTACTCTTTCTTCTAACCTCTGGTTCTGTTCTTTCTGCTCTTCTACCACGGAATGGCACAGCAAGAAGACCCTTGCTAGACACCTGCACCTTGTAGCTGAATTTCCCACCTCCATACCCGTGAGCACATAAATTTCTTATTGTTATAAATTATCTAATCTGTTATAGCAGCATGAAATAGACTAAAACACAACTGGCCCTACAAACATCTGCACATTCTCCTACCTACAGAGAACACATTCTTTGCTGCTGATTGGACAAAATATGGAATGTTTTCATAATCAAAGAAACTTATCAGCTGTGAAACAGATCTCCTGCTGCTCCATAACAGGAGTCACAGACAGACACAGGAGACCACGACATGGACATAACAACATGAATTCAGTCCCAACCAGTAACTGGCAGAAGACATCTGCCAGGGTCTACTATTTGGAATAAACCAAGTATGGTGATACAAAGCTGTGGGACAAAGCTGTAATCCCACACTGAAAAAGCTAAGGCAGGAGGATTGCTGAGTTCAAGGCCCAGCCGGATACACGGTAAGATTCTGTCTCAAAAGTAAACAAACAAACAAACAAACAGTTAAAATAAGACTATTATAACCACTTCATGGAAACTGCTAAGATCAGAGTTCCTAGTTTGCAAGGGATTATCCTTTGCAATAGAATCTATATACTGCTCATGATTTCAGCAACAGTTCACAAGTTCTACTGTCAGGTAAATTCAGGTTCTACAATTACCACCTATCAAAGAAAACCACAGGCAAGTGTCCTAACCATTCTGAGTCTCAATTTCCTCTAGTCTCAGAATGAAAAAGAATACTATAAAAAAAGTTTTTCTTTGTTTTGATTTTGAGAGACAGAATTTCTATGTTAACAGCACTGGCTGTCCTGGAACTCTGAAGACCAGGCTGGCCTTGAACTCTCAGATCCACCTGCCTTTGCCTCCCAAGTGTTGGATTAAAGGCCTGTGCCACCACCACCCAGAAAAATTTACTCTTTTTAGGAATATAGTTCTGAGCCTAAAAAAACTATTCAAGCCGGGCTGTGGTGGCGCATGCCTTTAATCCCAGCACTCGGGAGGCAGAGGCAGGCGGATCTCTGTGAGTTCGAGGCCAGCCTGGTCTACAAGAGCTAGTTCCAGGACAGGAACCAAAAAGCTACGGAGAAACCCTGTCTCGAAAAAATCCCAAACAAAACAAAACAAAACAACCATATTCAATCATACAAATATCATCAAGTCTACAATCAAGATGTAAAGATTTTTATCACTTTCAACTATATCTTTTTGGTCAATCCCCATCTTACTCCCAGCTCCTGACAATAACACACCTATTTTTTGTTGTTGTAAGGATTTTCTTTATAGATTCAGAATCTACATATACAGTTCTTTCTTAAAGTTAGTTGGCTAACTGGTATTATTGTTATTTCAGATGAGATTAAAAGAATTACTGAGAAAAAACATAGTAATCATAAAATGGATCAAATTGTACATATTTGAATCTTCATCTTTTTAAAGATGGACAGTCTAAAGCAGTCTAATCCAGTATAATGTGTGCACCATGTGAGTGTGGGTGGTCACAGAAGTCAGAGGGCATAGAATCTCCTGGAACTAGAACTATAATTGTGAGCTGCTGGATGTGGTGCTGGGAACCAAAACCTGGATGTGGGTCCTCTGAAACAGCAGTAAGTGCTCCTAACTACTAAGCCATCTCTGTAGCCCCAATGTATCAGAACATTTGCTTAGCAACACAAGACTTTGGATTTGAGTTTGTGTATCACATATCCCTTCCCCAACTCTGCACTAAAAGGGGAGGAAAGGACAAATCTTACACCTGTGCTGGCTATTAAGCTTCTGAAATGCAGCTTGAGATAATAGGAGGGTTTTACTTTTATTTAGTAATTAAATGTTGACATTTATTCAGAATAGTATTTTACTCAGAAATTTTTTAAAGATTTATTTATTATGTATACAACATTCCTTCCATGTATGCTTGCAGGCCAGAGGAGGGCACCAGATCTCATTACAGATGGTTGTGAGCCACCATGTGGGTGCTGGGAATTGAACTCAGGACCTCTGGAAGAGCAGTCAGTGCTCTTAACCTCTGAGCCATCTCTCCAGCCCCAGAAAATATTTTTTTATGGATATATTTTACAAAGGTAGCATTCTACCATACTTGAAAGGTTCCTTATACATCTAAATGTTTTCCACTGTATTACTTCTTAAACTACAATTAATGAATTCAAGAGTTTGAAGTAACCCCATTTAGCTAAATGAACTGATTCTATTTTACAATAGAAAATTAGTCTGAGAAAGAGCAAGTGAACTGTGCAAGACCACAAAGCAAACAGGAGGTGGAGTTTAGACCAGCACCCAAAAGGATCAAAGACTGAAGAGCTAAAAATATAAATCCTTAGAAGTGAGGAAGGAAGACGGTGAATGCAGCTTCATAATCTCTGATTGACAATCATCTTCCAGAAGTGCTATGATAGCAAGAAAAGGTAGGAGGGGGACTGAAGTGGATTTAAGTAAATGGTTTAATTTTGTTGTTGTTGTTATTATTATTATTATTATTGTTTTTCCCAGAGAAACCACAAGCCAGTGTGGTGGCAAAATCCTGCAATCCCAAGTAACTCAAGAAACTGAGGCAAGAGAATCTCAAGTTCCAGGCTAGACTGGGCTACATATATAATATGACCCTGTGTTCAGAACAATATAAAAGTCAGGTCTGACAGTGCAGGACTATAGTTTCATCTACTAGGGAATGAGTAGGATCACAAGCCAGTCTGGACTACAGTGCAAATTCATTCATTGCCAGTTCTAGCAATTTAATGAGACCAAATCTCAGAAAGTAAAATAGAGGGCTGGGGATATGGCTCAGTGGTAGACAGAATACTTGCCTGCCTTGCTTGATGCCCCAGGTTCCATCTCTGTACTATGAACAAAACAAGGACACATCAAGAAAAACAATCAGACAAGTTACAGGATGAAATTGCCTTTTT